CCTTGGCGTCTGTTTAATTGAAGAATATTTTGCATTCCCGTATTCCTTGCGTGTTTGGGCATTTAAATGAGGATATTTTTTCTACTCGCTCATTGTTCAGCTGGTTGTTGACCATCCGTGTCAGACCTTTGCGATGTGACACCCAATCTAACAACAACTGTCATTCTAAGTTATATTTATGTGTAATAAGTATTCTTATCCTCTAAGTGATCATTAACATTCGTTGTTTGTAAATTGACTCTGCCCCCATTAGCATTCAGATACAGTCTATTTCCCCTCATGCCAATCCCGTTATCCCTACCAACACTAAATTTCACTGAAAATCCTTACTCACAACACCTCGCTTCGTAACTATCCAACAGTTCAATATTTTCGACTTAACTCTATCATTCCCTACCTGCTTCAGCCAAACGCCGATTGAAGCCTGCCAAAACCCTTGGTTTAGATAGTGTAATCCTCGAGTTACCTGATGGTTTACTCTCGTCTGTATTGAGGGCTTTTGAAGGCGGTTGGGACTGTTCGTCTGTAGTGGTCATGATAGACATAACCATTACGACTCTTCCTTGCACGGGGGTCTGTATGTTCGATCACACGGATTACAACAGACAATATCAGATAGGAAATGTCAAGAACGGAATGTTTATTAAACCAAGGATTGGGAGCGGGGTGAGTCACATTTTATGGTTTAAGGGAGTAAGGGGGGGGTGGCGAAAATTGAGTAGGTAAACCAGAAGATATGCACGAGCCTTCCTCCGATTTATCCTTCTTCCTGTCTAGCTGTCAGTTCGCCGGGTTCCACCTCCTGCGCGTCTGCTTGGTGATCGGTCACCGTGGCTTCAAAAGAAGCGGAATGTCGTTCAGGGGAACGTTAACTAAGGAATTAAAACAAACCTAACTAAAAAATAACTGTTCTTTAAAATGGAATTCAATCCACTAGCCCTCCAAGAAGTGACTGATATACTGTGCCAGCCGATGTCTGATATTTCTATAATCTATGGAGAAGGTGAATTGCCGCAGGAATAACAACTGCTTTCGTTTTGCCAATCTGCAAAACAGGGTCCAGGCTGGAGTCTAAAAATTACCGGCCTATTAGCTAGACTTGCTTTTTGCGCGAGGTCAGGGGACGATTGATTAAGAGACATTTAATGACGTATCTGGAACAGAGGTTATTAATATGTGCTGCTCGGAATGGATTTCATCTTAGTCACTTATGTCTTATTAGTAGCCTTTACTCACAGGGAATATGAACAAAATCCATAGATGAGGGCCATCAAGTCGATGCCATTTTCTTCGACTTGAAAAGGACGGTTGATATCATATCCCGTATACAGCTACTGCAGAAGATTTGGCAGTGTATGATTCAGGGCTACATTTTTAAGTGGATTAAAGATTTCCTTTTAAGAAGGCTGCGAAGAGTAATTGTTTGTTTCACTGCGTCCGAATGGGTATCAGCAGAAAACAGTGTTCCGCAGGATTTGGTCTTGTGTTCTCTTATCATTCTCATCTATGTCAACGACTGTGCTGCAGATTTTAACTGCCATGCTATCATGTTTACAAATGATATAAAACTGCGGAAAAAAACCAGCTGTGCTGACGACGCTCAAAAACTGCACAAAAACATTAATTAGCTGACAGGCTGGTCCATCAAACGGCTTCCAGCGTTTAATGTACCCAAATATGTAGTCTTACTCCTAGAATCCGGTCGAAGGCGTCTCACAGAACATCAGTTTTCTATAAATTGGATACGTCCAAAAGGAATGGACATGCACAAATACATAGGTATCAGGACAAGTTTAAACTTGCTGTACCCTGAACGCTGGAAGAGAGCCGCCAAAGGGCAACGAGCATCATTTTTTAGATTAGGCGTGTTTTCATAGTGATTCCTGCCGAGATCTTCGCGCATATACTTCGTACTTCGTCAGACAGCATTTGGAATACGCAATGCCCGCAGGGATATCCTAGAAGAAGAAAGCGTGATGCCATCGAGCAGGTCTAACGACGGGCGACAAAACTGGTGGGCGGTCATAAGACTCCATCATATCCAAAATACTTATCGGGCTCAAAAAAAGAAAAAGACAAAAAGACCTCTGATTTTACAGGCTTTCGCCCAGTCGTGCCGCACATGGCGCTTTTCTCTTTCCTGGCATAAGTGCTCAGTCATGGTGGTTGGCGACGACCGCCAACCTCAACTAAGTATTGAAGGTCACGCAATAAATGTGCCAGGGGTTATAAAGGATTTGGGTGTATCATACTCCAAGAGTCTCAATCTCTCGGAGCACTGTGCCTTGATAGTCTCCAAAGCACGTAGAACGACCGGTTTTATCCTCCGAAATTTTAAAACTAGGGACATTAGAATACGCCTTTTCAACATGTACGTTAGACCTGGTCTGGAATACTGTTCGTTTTCATTTAGCCTCATGCGTGCTACTGAGCGGAAGAAAATAGAATCCGTTCAACACTTTTTTACCAAGAGAATTTTAACCCCGGAACACCGACATTTGTCTTACCAAGAACGTTGCCGGCTTACAGGCCTCGATCCTTTATGGTTCCGTAGATTACAAAAGGGACTATTTTTGCTATTTAAACTCTTATATAATCACACATTTAACCCCGTCACCTCTTTAAGACATCATATCCACCCACGACGTAACAGTCACCGTGAGGTCTTCTTATTTCTGCCTCTGACACGTACTAATAAATATCGTCGGTTCTTTTCTGTAAATGCAATTGCTATTTGGAATAAACTACCCATGAGTGTGAAAACTCTGCAAAATTTTCCTTTATTTAAGAGAACTATTACTCGATTTTAGCATTCAGAAAAGCTCCCACAAATTTTGGGTGCTGAATCTACTGATCGACTGTACCGTACCGATGGCGTTTGTGGTCTCTGAACACTATGGCCGGTCTCACCAGCTGTTCCTCAACGCCTCTACTTTTACTATCCCCAACTTCATGAAAGGAATTTGACGTCCGATAATCTCGGATACCGTGCAACCTCCCCCTTCTTGACGATCGATATTCTACCACCGCCGACAGTTTTTTTCTCCTGAGCCCTCCAAACCGAAAAAACCACCATCAACTATATTTTTATGCCTTAAGCTCTGGAGGTTTTTTTTCACTGCTGGTCGGATTTGTGTTTAATCGCTTCCCTTGACAATGCCTGTAAACTGGCATTAAATTAAAATTTATTTAATTATAACCACCCCCGCGGTCACCGTAGAAGTTCAAACGCGAACGTACACTCCTAGACCAATGGGGCCTATCTTTCGGTTGGCGGGTAATTCGATCGTGAAACTCACTCCGCAAGTGAAATAATGATATCTGAAACCGAGATTGTATTCAAAAAGCAATTGGTTCACTTGACTTTGATAAACGACGATCGTACTAAAGGGCTATCTACGAACAATCAGAATCTTTATTTGCTGATGTTATTTCCTGTGCAGCGCAGGCCTGTTCTTTTTATGCAAACTGTTCCCGCAGGCTACGAAATTGGCTATATTTGTGCCGGCTGTATATATTTTCATTCATAATCTCAAATGCACATACAACGAACCATCTGGGATTTGGCCAAAAACCTTCAAAAAACTGCGGTAGCTTGGGCGGCAGTCTCAGGTTTTTACGCATTTTTAAGCATAAATTTTGCTAATAAAAATTCAGTAACAATTCTATTCTATATGTGCCGTTTTCAGAAGGATGACCAGGAGTCTTGTCTATGTCCCTAAAATATACTATTATTATATAATAAAAGCTACAGTTTACTGAGTAATAGCTTCGGTTCATTGCACGTATTTTGAACGTAAGTGTCTGTCATTTGCTTGGGCTGGGGACTCCACACAGGTGAAGGTGGAGTATACCTGCCGAGGTAACTAAACGCTTCAAAGAATGTGCACAAGTTCTTCCGCTGATTTGAGAGGATTCAGCTGAATTCCAACTGATGTTCCTGTTCTCCGAGAGCCACAAACTTTCCATAGAAAAATGCTTTGTTAAACACAGGTGTTGCCAATCAAAGACCTTTTATTTTATCTTCCAACAGTTCTGATATGGATCGTCTCTATTTTTATCTTATTCGCAGTCCTAGATTCTGAAAACGTACTGTCACTAATTCTTACGTGTATGGTTCTCACCTCCAAACAAGTTCAGGTTTCTTCGCATGTGATCCCTATGGCCATCTTTCCTCTCATTAATTTTTGCCTTCCTTCTAGTCTTCCATCCCTCTGCGTTAACAATAAACAAGCTTCTTCTTCAAATCTCCTAATAGTCCGATACCAAAAAACGGTATATCGAACATATCTGTGATCTCCCTTTCAGCACCCGTTGCCGACCATACATACACCAGTAGTTCTGGAACCATTCATTATTATTTCACAAATAATACGGTCTTTCTCAATGACGTAAGCCATAGTCCCGCTACTCAACATACGCCATATATCATATTACTTAATGTTAGAGGTGGTACAAATTAGGCGACTCAAGTTAAAGCCGTTGCTTTTGATTTAAGGTCCAGTTTTATCGGCGCTTCTGTATCTTGGACCCTGCCTTCTTACCTGATTTTTCCTTCATCGTGCATGGTTTTAAATTCTTCTATCTGTATTATCTTAGTGGGGGTGGGGGTTTTAGTCCCCTCTATATTAGCTGTGATATGTATTCTTCAGCTTTTCGACACAAATTTCCTTGTTCACTACACTTCATACCCGGTTATTCTTTATTTGTCTGTCACACAAATTCGCACGCTTTGACCTGCTTGTTTCCTTCCCACTAATATTTCTGGGTTAATCCTATGAACTCCATTGACGAACTTCGGTCCCGTAACGTTAAAAACATTTATTTTGAACGAAAGCATACTCTTCAGGATCCAAAGAGTCGGAAGCTGACTTGGGGAATATAACATGCAAACCGTTAATTGATGACGACAGCATTGTTTAATTAAACGTCCACTACGCGGGTCGGACAAGCGGGTGTTTCTTGTGACGGAGCTGCGGTCGTTTAACTCGCTCCTAACTATGCAGGCATTACGGGTCGTTTCATCGCTAGCTGTTCCGTACGTTATTTAACGTTTATCTTTTCTCCCCTTATATCTTCGTTTAACTTCATACGTACATTTCGAAACGTTATGACAGTTTACTTTTTCCGATTTCCCTTTGAGAGGCAGGATCCAGTGTGGTGCATTAGAGTGGATTCAGTCTCTTTATCAGTGAAATCCACCTTTTGAACTTCAGACGAGATCACTGTTTGCGTAATGTTTCCTCATGCTGCAGTGGGCGCCTAATGTAGTATACTTTGTCTGGTTCGTCTCCCGTCGCATCGTTGCCGTCCCTTATCTTGCCCTATGCGACGACGTTGGAGCTTGACCAAATGTTCTACCCTTTGCTTTGTTATTTTACTTGCAGTAAATCCCATTGAATCGTCAGGCTACGAATTCATGCTATATCCATACCCTGCCTTTTAGATCAAGGTACCTTTCTCCCTTCCGTATTCTTTTTACACAAACGTGGATGTTATTTTGGGATTACTTTGAGACGTAGTACCCAAAGATACCCCGAGCTTGATACGTTTTTTTGTGGTGGGCTTCCCAGATAGTGTTCTGCCTTGCAAATTCAGTTATAGTATGTTTAGCTTGATTTTCTATGTAATGCTGCTAACGGACTTGTTAGTTCCCAACAGGTCCGAGAATCCGCAAATAAAGGGATGATCTGACAACCGGCTGGTGGACATTTAGTTGGTTTATAGGGAGCAATATTGACAACGAACGGTGATGCCAGAGAATTAGATGTGAGACAGTGCATCGTCCATAGAATTCATCAGCGTGGTGACAGTTCCTTAGAACTAATAAATCACTCGGACTTTGCCTTAAAAGTGAGCATCTGGATGGCGTTACCACTAGGAAGAATCTCGTTTATACCCTTTTCCTCTGGACTACACGAACATTTGTGTGTTATCCCCTGGACTTGGGACCCAGTCGAGTGAACGTTATTTCCGATCAAAAGGGGGCAAGCGGCCGAGATTTCAGTCATCCACACTGACTTAAAATATTCAAAACGTATTACTGCAATTTCCTTCTCTAACGGAAACCTAAGAGTCAGTTTATCTTCAGAGGTCCGTGCGGGTCGTTTTAAATATAACTGCGCCATGGCTGGTACTGTCTGCCAGTTCTACTGCCTACTCAGTCTGTGGCCTATGTCTGAAGTGCACTTACCACCAAAAATACGTTTTATGTTCCAGCCAGCTTTTTGTTTTTATTATGTTCAATACCGTTTTTGTCACACCACACCCACCTGACGTTCTTCTTATTCATCATATCGCTTGGCACTCTGCTTTCTTTGGCATTCTATGGTGACATACTTTCTGGCAAATAGGTTCCGGGGTTCTGTTGGATTTCTAGGAGTTGAACTGCTAGTTTTTATTTGTGTCTATTGCGAATACATGTCAAGCCTTTTCAGTATGTTAACGGTTTTCCTCGTCGGATGTTGATTTACGTCTTTATTACAAATGCACAATTTGACTAAATGGGCTATGCATTACCTTTCTCGGTCATGACTCCATCGGCGAGGAGTAAAGTTGGTCCTAATAAAGCAAATAAGGGACAACGGTAGGACCTTACGACAAACTGTCGAAGTTCGCATTTCATGCAATACCGTTCCCTACCGTCTCGTTTAAATGACTCCACACTCTCACTGCCTTAATGTAGAGATACGACGTTTACACCACGGTAACTCCCATTCTCCAAGTTTCATACTTCCTTTCCAAGTTTTTTTTGACTGAATAACAACATATCCAAGTCAACATTTTTTAATGCATAGAATCCAAGCTCGGGGGATGGCTACATTAAAGGATGTTGCAGTCCAGTTGAAGTCTATCAAAAACATTCAGAAGATTACAGCCTCAATGAAAATGGTTGCCTCAGCTAAGTTCGCTAGAGCCGATCGTGAACTACGACGAGCCATCCCGTACGGCTCTGGAGCGGCCGGTATTACTTTTACGTCCCGAAAGTCTACTATTTCTTAGCTTTTTACGAAAAGGCTGGGCTGACGAAACAAGAGGATCAGGCGCCACCACAAGGACACCTCATTATTGCGATTACATCTGATCGAGGTTTATGTGGTGCTGCCAACAGCACTATCGGCAAGGTAAGTGGGACATATTATCAATCTGTCATCCCCTCAGGCCATCCGCGAAGTCATAGCTAACGAGCCCGTAAAAGGCAGCACTAAATTGGTGCTAATCGGTGACAAAGTGCGTCTTATGCTTGCCCGACAGCACTCCGATCGTTTTTTGCTGAGCTTCACCGATGTGGGCAAGAAACCCCCCTCCTTTGAGGATGCTTCCATAATTGCACAGGCCCTGATCGACAGCGGCTTCGAATTTGACAAGGCTTCTCTCTTCTACAATAAGTTCAAGTCCGTCGTTGCCTACACAACCACCATCCAGCCGATTTTCGGTCTAGAAAAGATTCAACAGTCCGCATCCCTCGCTGTCTACGACTCCGTAGACGATGAAGTACTAAAGAGCTACAATGAATTTCTCCTCTCGTCCCTTATTTTCTATGCTCTGAAGGAGGCTGCGGCCAGTGAACAATCAGCCCGGATGACAGCCATGGAGTCCGCAACCAAGAACGCAGGTAGGCTCTATAGTTTCCTTCTTTCACCACTCCCTCTCGTTTAGGTGAAATGATAGACAAACTGACCATAACTTTCAACCGAACTCGCCAAGCCGTGATCACAAAGGAGCTTATCGAAATAATTTCGGGGGCTTCAGCTCTATGATTTGCGATGGAAGTCGTGGCTACTATCCCTCGTTTCTCGTCCTTCGGACGTGTCCTCCGACGAACAAGCATGCGGAGGCTTCCGACGTTTCGACCCCGATTAGTGTTTTATAGGGCATTTTGAAGTCTGTTTTAAGTAATAGTGTGAAATACATACCTAGCTGACTTGGCCTGGATAGTTTATTATGCTGATCACAGTCTTGTTTGTTTTTTGATTCCGTCTATAAGCAGCCCTTCTTAGTGGCATAAACACTGTTTGCAGTCATTTTCTTGCGAGCATTAGTGCCTGGACTCCTGTCTGCCTGGAAACCTGTTACAGCCTTCAGAGTCAACTTCAGCTGAGCAGAAATTCGCTTTAGGAAGTATTGTGTATCACAATTCGACATGTGTACAGTCACCAACTGTGTAGATTTCGTGAGCAGCTATTAACGCCGTCAAAGTACAGACTTTCTCTCCGTCTAGTGCGAGTCTCACGGTTGTTCACCGTAGCGAACAGCATTTTACCAAGCCGGACCTGCCTGTAGTAGGAAGGAGGTAATCGGACGGTGATACGTTATGATACTTCGACTTATTCTTGGACAAAATAGGCTAAATGCACCAGCAAAACTATCGAAATTTTGCCTGCATTAAGCTCGCACTGTCGACGCATTCGTCTCGTTGGCCGAACCATGCGTGCAGTAGCAAATTAGCATGTATTCATCTAATCCAGACGCCGACCCGCACCGCAAATGCTGAATATTTTCATGGTGCTAGTGTCAATTTTCTCTGCGCGCTCATGACAGGGCGACTGTTCAAGTCGCTTATCATACTCCTGTCAGTATCGAATGGCTTCAGTGAGTACCCAGTACATTGTATTTCGTGTTCGCTTACAGGGATTTGTTCCGCCCTGGCCATGTTAATTTACCATATGGTGCTGGAGTTATTTTCAGTGGGCTAACCGTTTTTCAAAGTCTGCAATTGTACTCATGACAAAACAAAAAACCTGCTTGTTTTTACGGACCGAAGTGACGATGTCCTGACTTTGATTAATCTCGCTTGACTTCGAAAATCCGTTACACGACTATGTTCAGCTTGCCAGGGACAATGGGGTTTACAAGCACCCCGCACAACTATTGTGGTCGTTTTAACCGCAGTCTCGTACCGTATTTGCACACCACTAGGCCATGTACATCTCGTAGGTCGCTTTAGGTACAGCTGTCTTGGCAAACATGAAAAAAGCGGAATGGGTGGTTAAAAGTATTCAGTTCACGGGAACTTGAATATTATAGTGAAATTGTCATTAAAACCTAAAAATGTGCTGAAACCCATTAGATGTGCGGCAAGTATGCTACAAATGTAGTCAATCTTCATTGGATGGGTCTAGGTGGGAAAAACAACTATTTCTATTGAGTACAGTTGCCTGTAGGCGCTAAGAGGTCAGATCTTGCAAAGAAGTCGATCTTGGCGGGATGTGGCAGAGCCCTACTTCGCTGGTGCCCAGCGGAGGTCTTCGGTTTTCGCCAGGTTTGCAACGTCGTTAATGCAAACACCCGTCAGACCAATCCGGGCGGCGTACTTCCTGTACTCGGCTGTTGAGATTCCGGGGCCATAGGGGATGCAGGAGAGTCCGTTGTCTGCCAAGAAGCTGAGAAGTTCGCGGGTACTATCGTCGGGTCCGGAGGGCGAGGCCTGAAGGCAGCAACTATGAAGCACGACCCCATCGAGGTTCACGAGGCGGGCCCAATAGGCAGACGAGAGGGCATTCAGATGGCGGGGATCCAGAGTATGCGACCAGTCAATAGTGTCGTGCGTATCCGAGCCGGCACGTGAGATGAAGAGGACTGGGTAGGTGGACTGTTTCAGCTTCAACGCCAAACACATGTCGGGATTGAAACTACTCAGGATGATTCGCCGGTTGCGACCCAATTTCCACAACATCTGCATAACACGATTGGGCGAAAAAAGCCGTATCAAAATGTAAATTCTGGGAGGTCTATAGCTTCTTTCGTTGGCTACATTATTTCTTCCATGCTCGCTCGATTCCTTACCCTAACTCAAGTGGCAAGAAAAATGAAAAGGAAGCAGTTTTATAGAAAAGAGCTTTACGTAAGAGGGAGGGGAATTAGTAAAGAACCGGAGTTGTTGCAGATTAGTTTGACGGACCTAGATGCGTAACTCGTGAAAGTCAAGAGTATGTCCTCTATTCGCGCGTACTTGGTACAGAGTTTACTATTCAATCAATACCCGCACAGCCATGACACTTGCCATTCGACCGACGCTTTCATAAACCTCCTGCACATCAATTAGCCAAGAGTCCTACCATTTGGTTTTCCCATTGGCGACACGTGTAGACCACAACCTCGGGGGATTTTTCTTTGGGTTTTTGAGTCTAGTTGCATCTATTCCAATTCCCAAATAAACGCAAATAAATGTACCGACTGTATGGATTTGCGGACTCATTGCAGAATGTACCCACTCCAATCGGATAATACCATTCCCAGTGGAGAAGCTACGTTGTACTTGGTTGTGTCAGATCAGCTGCGGGCGCCAAGTGGTACAAGTCAGCAGTCCGGGGTGCTTTTAGTCAGGGCCAATACCTGGAGCTAAGGGGCTCGCTGCTGTTTATTGGCAAAAAGGTAGACATGATGATGTCGGGGAAACTTACATTAAGTAGGTTGTCTGCGTACTTGTTGATGGGGTAGAAGTAGTCGTAGGGACAACCGTAGCCGGCAAGTGATTCCTCACTCTGACCCTGCTCATGGATAAGCCGGAACGCTGTCAGGGGCGTCTCCACTGGGTACTTTACTTCGACGTCAAGTGCCAGCTCGTTGGGAACCTGCTTCAGCAAATCAGAGAACAGGGGGAGGTAGCGAGCCAGAGGAGAGGCTCGGTCACATTCGAGGGACGGTCCATCGCCGGTGTGTGCGAAAGCGGAAGCTCCTTGGACGTCGGTAGTGCTAGAACGCTCCACCGCATGCGTACCGGCAAGCATGCTCTCAATCTCGTACCTCGCAAGGGTTGGAATGAGGTTGGGCGTCCTTTTGTTTACCATATTGTGATCTTTGAAAATGGAGAAAGGGTGGGGAGGCTGTGATTGGCGTTTTCAAAATCATTCTACGGTTGAAAAAGTCTTTGCTGGCATCCAGCTTCACTGTTATGAACTATGCGTGTAACAGAGGACTAGTGGAAGCAGTGATGGTACCTTGACACTAACCAACTCCGTTTAGCCCTTCACACGCGGAAGACGGAAAAGCTGATGTGAACGAAAATCACAATCATGAGTATGTCCCTAAAACGGGCCGCGAGGGAGAGGCGCTGGACTAACATGGGGGACGCTAAGGGACACTACGTATCAGCCGGGCTGCGCAGAGTCCGCACATCCAATACCAAAATGGGTGGGGTGTGGTGGCACGCCCAGGCACAGGTTTCACGCCGCTTCGGCCATTTCCGTCCAATCTCGGCATCAGGAGACTGACCTGTTCGGACAGCAGACTGGTGCATGGAAGAGGGGAGGCCAACTCTGGGGAATACACTCATGACACTTCAGCGCATTCCTAACGGCGAACGGTCTGACAGGCCTGGAGGGATGCCGACTGACTAACTCGGCCCTCTCAGGACAGAGAGTCAGGCTCAATGGCTCCTTTCAGACGTGGCCTATATGACAATTCCAATCAGATGGGGCCCAATCTTCCCCCTTTACCCCCTGGAAACTCTGTACGTTTGTGGAGCCGGGTCGCGCGTGGCACGCGTAGACGGGTTGTTTAGCCTTCTGAGCAACCGCGTCCGATCCCGCCTCCGGTCATCCCGACAGTCTTGCCACCTAACTCAGCAGGTGGTTGAAGGGGGGGGGGAAGAGTGCCGCAGATGCCGCACAAATCTGCCATCATTATAAACCTACTATCACACAGATAACTGTCCTGCGCTCGCCACGCTCTAGGACACACTGTGGATACCGTCGCACCCGACGGCAGAAATGTCGGATCATGAGTGCAAATTTCCGCGGGGTAGGAAAAGGTCCCATGGAGGCTGGATCCACGCTCCTTGCCATTGGCTGAGGATCACGGAAGGAAGATACAACTACAGGCGGCAATTTCCCCAGAAACACGAGGGCACTTGATACACCGTGGAGGCGGCTCAAAGCTAGCCAAAATACCAATACGGGACCCGTGCACCACTGACAGGATCCTCGTGAGCATAAAGCACAAACTATGCACTGACGTACCCAGCAGTGGTCTGATGTAAGTAGTAACGGGCGCGAGGCACAGCAGCCTGAACCGAAAAAACGGCATTTGTAGGTGTGGTCGGTATGTGTTTATGGCCTCCGATAACTTTTCGGATACAAATCCAACAGAAAAAGAGGACCTAACTCCGAACAAAAGTATACCGAGCTTATGAAAGGTTGGCTGGAATGCTTGAATATGCTTTCGGTTCTGGATTGTTACCTAAGATACATCAGAGTACTAATTAGCATTCGGCCTGGTCCCATGGCGTTTCACACCAGCCATGGTGTTATCTTATGAATAGCCGTCTTTCCAGCTATAATCAGAAGTTGAATAGATTAAACATGACTGCTTGGTTAGTGCGCACCTTTTACATTGATTTGCGAAGTTTGCCAAGTCCAATCCCACTTTACAGAGTATGTGTGCGGAGACGCTATGTGTTTTCTTTTTTTGAAATTGTGTGTCCTTGAAATTCAGTATTTTAGTGGACTTCTTCGCACCGTTTAGGTGCAGTCTGCCACCGAACCCACGTTTGTTACTTACAAATTACATGTTGTGTACTTTCATTTATACAGAATTATGCATACGACATTAATTGAAGTGTATACGCAATGCCACTTAAACGGCCACTTAAAGGTTTCACCATTTCTTACGGTGCCATGTTTCCTCGGAACAGAAAGACCCCCGTTATCCAAGTATAGAATTAAAACAATACGTCAATTTCTACAAAATTACAGTAAAATGACCGTGCAATCTTTCAAGAAAAGACGATCGAATTCAGACAGCGATGAAAATCAATCTAAAAAGTACACATTAACTAAGCAAGCATTCTAATTTACTGATATTTGCAAAATGTCGGAAACCTGCTCGTCCAGAAGCCAGCATTCTGAAATATATGAAGTGCTTCGGGGTTGTACTACATCTCAATCAATACGGTAACCGCATCAGCGAAGTCTTTTCTAACCAACACAATATTTCAAAATATTAGTCGGCATTTCTGGAGTCTAGTCATCTGTCCACGGATGGGTTCACTCGAATCTTACACTGGATGAGGGCGTCTCTTAAATAAAAAGAAGTCCAGGAGCCCGTTTCAGTGGTCAATTACACGCTAAGATAATGCCAACAACCGATCTCATTTACTCGCATGAGGCCTGAATGACTTTTGATGTTTTCCTCGATAATTTGGCGTATAAGATGGCTGAGAAAGTGGATTGCGACCTACATAAAGCTATATACTATCTCATGCGTCTAAACAACGTCCGATAATATTCGTCTATGTTGTAACTCCGAAAATTCTAACTTCCAAAGGAGTTGCGCTGGGGCACGATTCCGAAGGCAGCAAACTGTTTTACCTGGTTCTGCAGAACAGTGAGCAGTAATATAAGTCCAGTGGTTTTTTAAACAATAAGTAGTATATAAGTACCGGCAGTACTTCTTTGAGCAACCCGCTTCATGGAGTTACAGCGTCCTTTGTGAGGCACGACCGGCTATACAGCTTGCTTATACACGATAAAAACGTGTAGTAAGTGTCGTGAAACTTACAGTGGTTGTGCTACCTCATGAAGTGTTAGTCGGAATTCTGAAATGCGTTTTCAAGTCGAAAAGATTATCTAAACAGGGTTGTCACATCAATTATCATGTCGCATAGTGCTATGACATCGAAGTCACGTAGCAATGCCGGCTTTTGAACGTGCTCCTTATTTGCCGCATGTGAAAGCTGCATCCCGAATAAAAATGGCTAATTAACTATTGTGATTTTTTAAAATCGATTTTCGGTACCCTTATAACTTTAAATATATTTTATGGAAAACGTGCACAAAAATATTTTTTTTCATTTGGTAGCAGAATGCGTCCTTTTTGAATGTTATTCTTGAAAAAGGGTATCTTTCGGTCTTCAAAAAGTTCCAAATTACGAGGTGTTTTAAAACCATGAAATGCACAATTGTACAGAATCGCGTCAGCACACTTATTAATGCCGCTCATAAGGTAGACAACATGGTCCGAACTCATTATAAAAACTGCAAGAGCCTCTCCTCTTCATAGCAGCGTATAGAAGTGCATGATATTTCTCACACTAAAAGTATGCAGCTTGTAGTTCGGGAACCCTGGATGCAAGTTGAACGCCACGTCAGGTTCGAAATTATTCGCGGGTTCGGGAAAGTTACTCCTTTTTAGAGCACAAAATCTGAAGAAGACGTAATTGGCTGCCAAGTAAGTAAAAGAACGAATATTTTTATACATGCCTTCTATAAAACATATTTGAATTTATAAGGACACTAAAAATCAATAGGAATAACTCATGCTACTTAAGTAGTAATTTTTGCCGAATTTAATTTATGCAAGCGGTCGATAAAGGTTGTGTTCTACATAACCTAGCCTAATCAATAACTTCTTATGCTTCAATAAGGTCGTCATAGTTTCCTTGGTATAAGAAGATACATACTTCAGAGGCGCTCCGCTTTGGAATATTTAAACGAAGACGAACCATTTACGAAGTAAATAATCCCCACTCCTGACCGAAAACCTGAATTCTGCCAGGTTAAGGAAACTCGTTGATTGAGAGCGCCTCTGGTAAAGCGGCCTAACAAAGAGAAACACGGCTAATCACCGGCCAATCAGGCTGCGTATGTTAAAAATCACATAGACTAAAGATGTTAAGATCCAACAAATTGCATTCTCAACTACATGATGAGAGTGAGATAATGCATTTAAATCCAAACGATCATTGTTTCCGGGTCATTTGACAGTGAGACTCCCAGAAGCAGTAAATAATCAAGCAATTGGGAATACGGGTTATGAAATACGTGCATGAAAGTGAGCGGGCGTTTAACCGAATGCACTTTTGAGCGCATGCGATTTGGAAATTAGAGAGGCCAAGCAGGCTACGAGCAAGTTCAGGGCAGACTTAAGTAGTGCCACTAACTTGCAGTTATCTTTTTAGACTACGGAGAGTCTGGTACTGTTTCCTTGGTGTGCTGTTCTAAGACCTGCCCAAATATAAAGAGGCGATAAAGCGCCAAAACTTGTCTCAGTTCCAGGTGCACCCTGGCCTGTCACCTGATAGGTTAAGTGGCTTGTATGCGTCATATCTCAGAGGCATCGGGCGTCGGATGATGATGATGATGATGATGATGATGATGATGATGATGATGATGATGATGATGATGAGAAATCGCGCAAGGGTCGTCTTCAGTCAGGAAACCTTGGTGGATAATGGCACCCTGTCCTAGCAAGAGTGTGTTACAGGGTATCAACTAGCTTTTGCTCCCTTCTTAATTCGAAGATGAATCAATTAACGAGATGGGGACGTCCAAAGGTTGCTTTACGGCGCTCACTTGTCCCGTTGTGCCTTGGAGTTTTCTTTCGATCCCCGCCAGCAGCCGCACAGCGGCGCGTAATATGGGCAGTACAGCATTACTGACAAGGACACGGAGACTGAAATGACCACTTCTGGTCTATCAGCCATCATCAGCTAGCCATACCCAAACATAACAACAGGCCCATGGCTCCGTGGTTGAGGCTTTGGACTTCTAACCAACAGGTTCCGAGATCGAGCCCCAGGGGTTGAACACCTTGGGGTCGTGCATGGCTGTCTGGCGACTGCTAACAAACCATTAATGGCCCTCCCAGTCTCATTCATGCCTTTCAATAATGCTGGTCTGAATCCATTAACGTCGACTTTGTCCGTTCGGCTTGCACTTGTCAGTGCCTTAAGTCCGCTATGTGAGCTAGTGTCTTCATAGCTGCCGGAGGTCCAAAGCGTTGTTTACTAATTTGCTATGTAACGTTTGAAAGCCCCTGCTTACCTAAGGCTTGGTGCAATTGCAGAACGTGAGAGTTGTGTGCAATGAAGTTATCCAGGCACATTCAGCGAGTTTTGCTTTGCTGCCTAAGCAGCCACTACTGCTGACAGGCGGCTACGCGTCCTGCCCGCTTCGCGGAAGTCAGCTATGAGGTTATCATGCTTTGCAGTCCTAGCATCGAGGCAAGAGACCAAGGAGGACCGGACATTTTCTGCAGCATAGATGTCGACCGCATAATTTCCGTTGTCCATGGGCTTCCGGGCTGTGTTCGGCCTATTACCGACGCTGCCTCGCTTATGATACGAAATTTACAGAAGCAGGGGGATATGTAGGCTAGTGTAATAACTGACAGTTCAACCGACGACGTACACTGCGTGCCCCAGAGCAGGGTAAGAGCAGACACAGTGACATGCGCGTGATTTAGTTTTTGGTGAGAACGGACTTGCGAAGCATCTATCGCACTCCTCCCTCCTCGCCCGCCTGGTATCATTACCAAGCCAAGAAGACCGGAGGCGGGAGGGTGTAGGTGGTTGGCACAGCGTAGGTGTACCACCACACTCCCTGGTCCACATCAAGCTCCTGGCCAGGATTTTAACCAACAACAATAATGGAGGGCGACAGGGATTGCAAGTGGTGAGACTTGAACCGGCAACTGGGTCTGCCACCACGCACCCTGAATGTTGGCATTTGTTATGAGTGTGCATTCCCGATAACGCCGACCGACTCCGATCTAACTCTCGCGGTGGTCCAGCGCATCTACCGCGTGGTCCTTTTTAGAAGCAAAAGTGTAATAAGCACAGGTGCGCACACAAAGGACACTCGAAATCCCGAAAATTTGGCTTAAAATTTTATTCCCGTTGATGTACATACTGACTATTTAATACTGGAAAGGTGGTATCCAACTAAGGATCACTTTAGTCCCAGGCACGTGCCGACTACCGTTGAAAAGAGAAACCGAATTTATAGTAAGTGGGCTAACTCATGAAATGTCAACAGAAATTCCAAAATGCGTTTCAGTTTCGAAAAGATTAACTAAGTAGGGTTGTAAAACCAACCATCATGCAGCAAAATTCTAAAATAATTCGGTTACCCCAGGACACCGGCTTTCGAACGAACTTCTTTCTGGCTGCATGCAGAAACTACATTCCGTAAAAATGACTGTTTAATTAGCATGCATTTTTTTCGTCGATTTTCGAAGCCCTTAAATATTCAGTTATATTTCATGGAAAACATGCAGAAAAATATTCATTATTTTGTCCATTCAGTAAAAAACTACGTCTTCTTCCAATTTTACGCTCGAGGGTATAAATCGGTTTTAGAAAAGTTTCTAATTGTTATATTTTTTAATACCGTGAAAATGTTCTTCATAAAACGGCATATCTCTGCATTTACCAGTGCGGCTTGCAAATTTCACAATGTGGCTCAAATCCACTGCTTAATTTTATGAACCCCATATGGTATCCTCCTAATACCGCAGAGAAATGTATGGTTTTTCGTACGCGGAAATTATACGGTTTGTAGTTTGGGGACCCTGAATGTAAGTGTAACGCCGGTCAAGTTCAAAACTATTCGGGAATTGACAAGGTTTTACAAAACCAAATTATACCCTTCCTTCGTGCGTAAAATTGGAAAAAGGCGTAATTATCTACCGAATGTGCAAAAGAATGAGTATTTTTATGCATGCTTTCCATGAAATATAATTAAATCTTTAAGGGCATCGAAAGTCAATGAAAAAATGCATGCGGCTTAGTAGTCATTTTTACGTAGTATAGTTTCTGCATACAGCCGGAAAGAAATTTGTTCAAAAGCCGGGGTCCTGGGGTAACTGAATTATTATAGAATTATGCTGCACGATGATTGGTTTTACAGCCCTACTTAGTTAATCTTTTCGAAACGAAAACGCACTTCGAAATTCCTGTTGAGATTTCATGAGTTAGCCCACTTATTGTAACTAGGGGCGTGAACGCTCGGGTGGATTTGTAAAAGTGCGGCCACCATAGGCGCCTGCGTAAAACTTGGCTGACTGTAAATTAAGGCAACTTGACAGTAAAGAATTGTTTGGTGCAAAAAGGTTAGCTGTCGGTAGACTGTGAATAATGTGCTGATGTATAAACTAGCTAAATCTATTTAGGTACTGATGACTGGCAATTGTACCCAAGAGCAAAGAAACAAAAGCGGAGATAAACTGAGCATGAATTGGGAGATAACAAAGGTGTCTGCTAGGGGATAGGCTCAGATGTTCAATGGCCACAATGGGGCGCTATGGAATATCCAGCTGGATATTATGTCGACATACACTCAAGTTGAAAATATCGTTTTCGCCACCGACCGTCTTCTGTGGTTTCCTGCATTCTGTCAGCTCTTCGTCTGCCATGCTGTCCCACGCTTAACGCCAACGTTTCCGTACGACATGGTTCACAGTATACCGACAGCTAACTGGGGGCTATTCCCCCTACCGCCGTCTACATTTTATTTTAGAGGTGTTTTGGCAGATTTCATATAATTCGCTTTGACTCAACTGTGAAAAACTCTGCGCTTTGGAGGGATTCCAACCCACGACAATAAGGGGAAGGCTCTAGTACAGCAAACGCTCTAACCATCCGAGCTACGAGGCGCCACCGAACGACGCGAGTCTAATCACATTTGGGTCAAGTTTACCCGACCAACCTACTGCAACGTCTGGAATCCACCAAATCTGATGCAGTAAGTTGACCGCCCAAGCAGGATTTCCCAAGTAATACATTTAGAATCCACCGAATGACTTCCAGGTTCACGTAATTCAGAGGTGTTTTGACAGGCTTCAAATAACAATCTTTGCCTCTACAGGATTCCAAACCTCATGCGCGCACGTTTTCTAAAAACAGTTTTCTATTCCTTTCTATTTGCATGCGGTAGCTGGCCTATCTCATGACATGTATTTTCGGCCAGAAAGGATTACTGAAGGTGGCATGGAAATTGACTATTGATTATTGTGCCAGCTTTTGACTGCGTCTCGTGCTGACCACTCACAGTAACTGGACTTGGCAAAAATGACTACCTAAGTGGTATTAACCTTTCACATTGATTATCAATGGCCCCATAAATTCAAATATAATTAATGCAAAACACGTATAAAAATATTCTCTCATGTACTCATTTAGTAGGAGGTTAGGTTATCTCCGATCCAATGCCCAGCGAAGTAATATCCTTGGGTTTCAAAAAAACATTTTCAATGCCTGACTGATTTCAAACTCGCTTTGCAATTGTACTTGCGCTTATGGTTTCCAAACTACATGCTGCATTCTTCGCGTGCAAGGCGAGGCATATCGCTCAGCTACTAAGAAGGCGTCATGTAGAGTTCGTAAAAATTTGTGATCAATGCGGACCATGTATAATTCACAAGCAGCATTAATAAACGGGCACATACGATGCTGAATGAATGAAAATTTCATAGCCTTAGAAAATCTCATAACAACAAACTTTTCCTCAATCCAAAACCATCGTTTATTGAAGTACAAAGTCTAGGGAAGACGGAGTTTGCTAGCAACCGAGTAAACCGGAGAACTTTTTCATTTATGTTTCCTAGAAAATATATATTCAAATCTCTAGTACATCAAGAATCGATGTGAAAAGATGCGCACTACTAAAGTAGTCATTTGATCCCGAGTGCAGAACTAAAAAGCCGGCATTCTGTCATGACTGAAATATCTTAGGATTATGCTGCAAGACAATCAGTAGTAAACGCCTACCTAAGTAATCTTTTCGAGTGGAAAACGCATTTCAGAATTTCGGTTAACATTTCGTGAGATAGACCAGCTACTGTACTTACGAGCAAATTGACGGCCACTATTAAATTCAGGTAAATCACTAAACAGCAGAAACGGACAATAAGTCACTTCGCCCATTACGGCCAACACTGAATTGGGTCTCTAAACAAGAATTCCGCTAGGCGAAGTTAGGAAAATGGTCCATACTTTAATGATAGCCAGAGGTTCCTTCTACCTCAAGTTCAATCAAGCGGTCTGCAGAAGCAACGCGTACCTTCTGGTCACGTTAAGAGGACAGCCACAAGAGATCGTAACTGCAAGACACGCTCTAGGCTGCAATCGCTGAGACGGACAAAGTAGGCATTAAGTGTACGACGACGGGGGCTTACTGCTGTTGACGAGCAGTAGATCTGTCCCCTGGGCGCCATGTCCATCCAAATGGAGTGGACCGTAGCCGTTTGTTAATCCGAAAATCCGGACGAGCTGCGACTAACCGTACTACTAATATGGCCCCTGGACTGTTAATGAGTGACCTAACCATGCTTGAAAGTACTATCGCTGCGCGGCCTACGACTGATCATTCGCCGGACGCGAGGACTATCTGGGGTGTCTTAGTGGGGAATGATGGTCAAATCAAATATCAAGGTGGGAACAGGTATAAGGACAGACATGGAGATTTCTACGTTGTGGTAGAGGGGCGTTCACCGATCGCGCTACCGAACTCACTCCTCCCGTTGTGCCTCGGGGCTCTCTCTCTGAAGTCCCGCCAGCCGCCGCACAACGGCCCATGGTATAGGCAGAATAGCAATACCAACAACGACAAGGGAGATTGGGGTGGCAATTTCTGGCTTGTCAGCCGTCGTCAGCCAGTCCTGCAAGAAGCCGAGCTGCGCAACTGCTGGGGCTCAATTTCGCGACCTGTTGGTTAAGAGTCCAACACCCCAACCACTGAACCACGGGCTCGTTGTCCTGTCGGTTGCGATCGGGTATATAAATCATTACAGGGGCGTTCACAGATCGCTATTCTACCAAGACACAACGGGACAGGTGAGTTTCGTAACGTGATCGGTGAGCGCCCCTCTACCCAATCGCAATTGACGGAAGAGCGAGCCGGTGGCTCAGTGCGTACGTCGCTGGACCTTTAAATAACGGGTCCTGGGACCGAGTCCCGGGGATTGAATATGGCTGGCTCCCGGAAGCTACTAAGCCAGAAGTGGCCATTCTTTGTCCGTAATGCTATCTTGCCTATATTTCTGTGTTATTTTCCCATTGTTTGCCTGCTTTGAAATGTGCTTGACTTCGGCGAAGAGGATTTCCTTTGATAACACGGATAGGGACGTCTCAGGAATAAAAGGTTTCATAAAGTCGCATGCCGAGAAGCCAGCCAGTGACGCAGAAATTGGAACAAACGTGTCAGGTATAACAATAAGTACGTCATATTGCCTGTATCGAGGGGATTTTCTCCCAAATTCGGTTTTCAGCGCTCTCACTCGACTATCAAAATGACTTATTTTGTAGTTTATGTCTGTCAAAACCTTCTAAATAAAACATATTGAAAGTTCCTAATTAAGTAGAGGATTCTCTGAAGTCCCCTTTCATGCGGCTTGGGTCATATTCGTAAACTCACCCAAGCATGAAATTTAATCACCGACGAAAATAGGCGCCCACAGCGAAGGCCTACAAAGAATACGTCCTTAATTAAATGAAAAGCCTTCTCTAAAAAGTTAACTTCTTTAAAATGTGCCTTACTAGGGTATTTGGCTGATGACTGTGCCTGCTTTTCGATATTTTCAAGGTGAAGCCGAGAAAAAGATGGGTACACTTTGTTTGCTTATGTACTTTAAGGGAAGTCACTCGAAATTTTACCGTCACCTTCCATCTTACTGATAATCAGTTGCTTGAAGTCATTTTTGCTTACTTTTGAGCTATTTTCTACGAATGTAAATGAACTACAGAGTGGACATATAAATATGCGAATACTTCTCAAACGGTGAGCGCAGTGTCCTTTCCCTTGTTAGATTTCGCAGTAGCAGAAGCTAGATCGCACAAAAGTCCCCCAGCATATGCTCGAAAATTAAAAACGGATTCTGAAAGCAAAATGCGTACAAATGTGCTGATGTGGTCTACGGGGGAGGTACTCACATAGAAAACCGCCTGAATATACGGTGACGTCAATTTCCGCCCAAATGTGCAAACTCCTTCCCTGCTAAAATTACTTAAAAACTTATTCTACATGTTGAAAGGTTCTTTTTTCTGGAGGACGGATTCGACTAATAGGGAAGATGCCCAGCGTTTGCCTAGCTCTCGGTCGTCATTATTTACGAGTTTTGTCGCCTGCTGAAGCGGCTTGCATGGAAATGGCAGACAGAGGGGGAGAGGGTAGGTGTAGGCAGGTCTTACCAAAAAGATCCACCTCGTATTTAGGCCGACTGCACGAGGACTGGTGCGTGGAGTTCTGGCTGACCTCAGCTGTGCGCAGATTGAAGTTATGATAGACCACAAAGTCGGAGTCATCCCGCATCGGCTGAATATCCAGTTCGACCATCGGCAGACCCAACTGGTGGGCCTTCTGAAAACTGAGAATGGTATTTTCCGGCCATTGTGAGTCCCTTGGAACGTCTGCCTCCTCGGCACCAAGCCCCCGATGACCGACGAGTAGGACGTCGCTCGGCGAGACTGACTGCGCGCTCACGGGACGCAGGGGAAAGCCGGGGTAATTGACCGGATCGAGGTCCTCGGAGAGGCAGGCACCCCGCGAGGGGGAATCCTGGTTGTGCACAGTAGAACTGATGGCGAGGTAGTAGACTGAAATGCAGGCATGAAGGAGGACTTGTAGAGAGTAGGGGAAAGCAAAATCATAAGGCACACAGCACAGAGCAGGGTTGCAGCGTAACCAGGAATTCAGTAGACCGACAGCCTGAATAATGCGAAATTATCAGCACCCAATACAAAACGATTGAAAGAAATAGCGGCCGTAAATTGCCCTTAGAGTCTGCAGATCAATCCTATTTCGCCGCCACTTTCAGCTGATTAGGTACCTGACAGAATTGTAAGAAACAAATGATTCATCTCAATGCCAAATGCAGTGGTATGTATATCAGAAAACAGCAACCGTGGGGACGCCATCTTGTGACATATAGCCCAGTTCCACGTCGCGCATTTCTGTTCTTCATTATTGCGATTGTATCGATAGACATCTCACAAGACAGAAAATTGCATGGAGAGCGAGGGGGGGAAGGGCGGATAGCGGAATGGCCGAATGCACGAGATCACCACACCAGTAATCTTCTAGATAAAACACCTGGTGACTATGGCTATCCGTTTGCGTGACCGATCTCACGAAGTGTTGGCCAAAATTCTGGAATGCGTTTCCGATTAGGAAGGGTTACTTAAATGGGGTTGTTATAGTGATTATCATGCAGCGTGATCCTATAAAATTTCGGACTCGCCAGGATGTCCGCTTTTGAATGCACTTCTTTTGGACCTCCTGCAGAAACCACACTCGGTATAAAATGACCACTTGTGCAGCATGCATTTTTCCTATTAGTTTTCGATAGTCTTATAAAGTCAAATATATTTTGCAGAAAACATACACAAAAATATGCTTTTTTGCTTATTTGGTAGGAACTTACATTGTCTTCATACTTTATGCCCAAATAAAGTGTGTATTTAGGTTTTAAAAAAATTCTTAAGACCGTGCGATGTTCATGCGTGCAAGACCGAACGTGTCCGTTTACTAATTCTCCTCATGAAATGTACAGCATAGTCCGGACCCATTGTAAGATTTCATGAACTCTATGTGATATCTACTTAAAGGCATAGAGGGATACATGATTTTCCTTACGCGGAAAGCATGCACCTTGTAGACTGAAATTCCTCAACGCTGATGCAATGGCAGATCAGGCTGAAAATTATTCGGGAATTGGGAAACTTCCCTAAAACCTAAATACACACTTTCTTCAGGCACAAAAAATGAAGAAAATGTGATTTCCTACCGAGTGAGCAAAAGAAAGCATATTTTTGTGCATGTTTCCAGTAAAATATATTTGAATCTATAAGACTATCGAAAATTAATTCGAAAAAATGCATGCTACATAAGTGGTTATTTTATACCGAGTGTGGTTTTTGCAGGATGTCCAAAAGCAGTGCATTCAAAAGCCAACATCCTGGCGAGTCGGAAATGTAATAGGATTATGCTGCAGGATAATCAGTATAACAACCCCACCTAAGTAATCCTTCCCAATTGGAAACGCAGTTCAGAATTTTGGCTAACATTTCACGAGAACGGTCACGCACTGTAATTTCGAAAACTGCCGTCCGTTCGGTCAGTATGCCGATCCAAAGGAAAATAGGAAATAGTGTACATCGGGAGATTATGCTTGTCATCTTCCACAGTTAGCGGTCTGAAAGCGTAATGTCTGACGTCAGGAAGCTGGAGTCAGAGCGCATAATTTGCACCTAAAGAGTTGACCAAAACCTCAAACAACTGGAAGCGAACATTAACAACTTTAGTCGATGAAACTAGTCCATGCGTTGTATTTCCTTTCCCCAGTGGTAGTAGTTGGATAGAAAAATATGCCAGTGTCATCTATAATCACCAAGATTGTGGTGCGATGAAGTTGGTGGAAACGTGAAAAACAACATATTCGGCCGAAACGACGAAAGTCGTTAGTTAATTTATAGGACCAAAGAGGTCCCTCCCGTTATTGTGAAGGATATACGGGTGGTAATTTAAAATTTGTCAAGTGAGAGTGTTTACCGTAGGGTCGACTGTGAACATTTCACAACGAGCCCTTCCCGCCGAAAAGAAGCCCCTCTCGTAAATGTCGTACAGAAACTACAGGCCTTGCAGTGGACAAGTCCTCTGAGATTTGAGAACCTTCTCTGAGATAAACTTGTGAGGAATTTAGACACGCCTAGGAAATGTGATGGTAGGAGGTAACGCATATTGGCCTTCCTTAGCGCTCAGTCATGCGTAAAATCAGAATGACATCAGTCAAGCGACGAGTTCGAAATCACTCGTCCGTCTCGTAGTAGAGCATGAGTCCCTAGAGACTGTTCCGGTGACTGAATGCAATAACCGTTTCAACAAGAACCTAAGACTCGTATGTTCGCTTTTATTTGTGACAGTACACTGCATAAAAGTCAATCTATGCGAGACTAGCACAGCAAATCTGAGGCAAATCAACCGCTTTTCTTCAGGAGAAACTTCACGGTTACACAGACTGAGTGCACAGATAGTCTGGGAAGAGAACACTGGAAACGTGTGAATGAGTATCAAGAGATGCTACAGTTCTGTTCAGATCCCCCCCGCCAGGATCTCTTCTCATCTTTCCCTGCTTTGGCGTGTGCTACATTTGACGTCCCCAGCCGCTACAGTATCAGTCTTTGCAGACTTATCGTTCACCGAGGCTAAAACACACAGCACGCACAATAATCGGGCAGGGCGAGGGTTGGAGATACCGAGAAGACACGCGAAACTGTCCTTTACAGATGAACTTTACGAGTTTCCAGAGATCAGTATCGTCTGTCGTCATGTGTGCACGTTGCTCTCACTTCCACGTCGTAGCGGTGACAATGACGTGCGCACCTGTAAACAGAAGCATACCAAGGCATCATCAGCCGCGTACCAATTTCGGGACTCGAGAGAAATCGGACCTGCGGTAGTTACGCGGGGGAAAGGCTGGATGGGACTGGCAGTGCCGGTCAGATGTGCTTATGTAGCCTCACCTAAAGAAAACAAACTCCAACCACCTGTAATACGGGACCGGTGGTAATAGGGGGTTTTTAGAGGGTGGGGCCGGGGAACGCACAGGCGACGAGGTCAAGTAGTTGTATGCAAGAGAAAAGCTATTGGAAATGCGCGGTTTTACTTTGAGTGGTTGAGAAATAGCTGCCCTAACCCTAACCTCGACCCCAAGGGTATTGTGTCCATCAGGTGGGGCCCCATAACCACATCTTACCGCAGTGCCATTATGAGGCGAATGCACTTATTAATCACAAAATTTCGGTAATATCATGCCAGTTACAACTGACTGAAGTGAACTGTCCGCCCTCAATCTCGTCAGGCTGATTTGTCGAAAATACAAAATTAACAAGCATTAAAAGCGAAATGGCCACAGAATGCATTGGTCACAATTCACCGATAACCCCGAGCACAAAAAGTTCTTACCATCAAGAAAACTGTCAGATGAGTCGTCAATTTGTACTGACTGTTTGCCAGCTTCAGCGATAGAATTTGCGGGACAATTTAGTTTCAAGTTAGTCTCCTTGGTTGGAACGCCGGTGGAAGAGGACAGGGCCAATTCTACCAACTAGAGAAAGGCAGCATGGAAATTAGCAGAACGGCTCAAGCTACCCAGCTTATCACAGGTTTTTCCGACGTGTGACGACAGAGTAGACCGGTTATCGTGGAGCTCCCGATACTCAGCCAACGCCTTTCAATTTCTTCGCCTTGGATGCGCCAGGAGACATCGCGGGAAGCCCCGCAATTCTACAACAAGAACAAAAATTGAACTCAGCATGTTTACTATGTCATGGCCACAAGGTGGTATGAGAATTCCAACAATTATCATTAAAAAGGCCATTGCCGACAAAAGTTAAAAACCTACTGGTCGCGTTTTACCTTAGGGTTTGATCTAGAGCCCCCGGGCAGTCGCACAGCGGCTAGTAGTATAGGCAGAATGACATTACCGAAAAGGCAAAGGAGACTGGAATGACTGTTTCTATCTTACTAGTCGTCGTCAGCCAACCATATCAGCCTCAGATAAAGGATAACTTAGGACTCCAGCCCAGAGTCTTCGGTTACTGGGTGCTTTTAAATCAGTGCTGCGAGAGAGAGAGAGAGAGAGAGAGAGAGAGAGAGAGAGAGAGAGAGAGAGAGAGGAGAGTTGTTGATTCTCGGAACTCAAGCCAGGCGCTACGGCTCTGAGCTCGCACAGCCACACCTACCAGCTGCGCGAACTGATCGATATTCGCATCAGACTGACTCGTAATGCGCACTTGTAACTAATTTATTCAAATAAGAAAACAGAAGTCTTTGATATAGGAGGCTTCGTATACGACGGAGATCCGAGTGGATCAGTTCCCCCACTGTTTTACTGTGATTTAATAAAATATCGCAGCAATAAAGTAGTATGACACATGGGAATACAGGAATGGCACAAGCGAGGATCTATGACCATTTACTTGCAAGTCCGTTCATTCCCGATCGCTGCAACGTTCCAGTCTAATCATAATCTGGCTTTTTGTGTAGAGGCCGAGTCAGAACAATCGGCGGCAGGACACAGGTTAAAAGTATGAAATTAAAAAAAATTAGGGCGCTGGTGCCTTGTTAGACAGATAATCCAGGGGATCACGAAGGCAAACGTTGTCACAGGTACTGAGGATACGAGAAACATACTCCGGCATGAATATGCAGTATTTTCGAAACCACCAGTCCTGTCACTGGTTAACAGGCATGCCTAGGAGACGAGAGAGATTCCGAGAGTGGAGTGGCACCGCAGTGAAATCTGTGTGAAAAAAGCCACCTGACTTTCAAGCGGGAGAAGCGGTCACAGGCACACAACCACAAAGCTACCACGGCACTGGAGCTATGGTAATCGGATCATCCTATAAAATTCCGCAAAGTCAATGGACGACAACGAAGACGTGCACGGTCACCGTAAAACACAGTAAGACAAGTCTTCTCGACATGGCCGTCTTGCGTTTAGATATCAAATAGCCAGAGCTTTATAGGAAACAACTTGGTAGGAAACTGTTTCCACACGCGATGGCAGTCTAGGTAGGCACTTTAATCGTTGATGGGCAGGAGATGCTCCTTTTAGCGGAACATAGTGGAAAAACCCGCACCTAGGCACACTATCACACTCATGCCTCACAACGCACACAGGACCAGGATTTTACGCAACAGGAAAATTGGGAGCGGCTCGGATCCTAATCGGCGGGTGGGGGGGGGGGGGGGGGGACTGCACCTAGGCATGCCGTCATGCTCTAATGTTGCCATGTTATGCATGCGTATCCCCCATCTAGTTCCCGCGTTGAGTAAGCGCATCTACTGTGTGACCCGCTCTAGGAGTACGACATCATCATCATCATCCCCTGCACCAGTAATGCGGACTCGATGCCCACCTGTCCCCACTGCAATCACACATTCACATTATTCATTAGCCTGATCGGTGACATTTGGATCTACCGCACCGAAACCGGTGAACCAGTGTCAGAAGCACCAACGTGCATCCGTCACACTCACAAAAACTTATCACGGATGGAAGCGAATATGCGAATCCCAGATTCTTGTTGTAAAGAAGATGAACAAACGATCTCTGGAATAGTGGGCATATTAGTCTGAACTTTCGGTCTCGTACAGGAGGCCATCGTCAGAGACTGTGAGAATGCGGCATCAAATGAGCAGTTTTTGAGTGTAGTCTACACTCATATCCCCCCCTTTCATCGCTTGACTACAAAAACTGCTCATTTGATGCCGCACTCTCACAGTCTCTGGCGATGGCCTCCTGTACGAGACCGAAAGCTCAGACTAATACACCTACCATTCCAGAGATCGTTGGTTCATCTTCTTTACAAACTTGCCATTTTCAGCCACTGCATGAGCCAACTCGGTCAAATGCGCCTCACGAAAATCTGCGGCAAAACACCGTAGTCCAACCCCAACCACCACACGGGGCATCCCCGCGCCCTCAGACCATAAATAGACCCGCCCCACATCAACCAAAACTTGCCCAGAAAAAATGCCTATCACGGAAGTAAAATGCATGCTCCTCGTTGTATCCTGATGCATGACTTGCTCACCAGGTTGCGTGGGGTACACGTAGACGGACTCCTGCAGTCGTGTCGGCCACTGCGCCCAATCCCATCATCAGCCGGTCGACAGGTTCGGACAGTGGGCTAATACATGAAAGAGGAGTCGACAGTGTGAACCCCAGCTACCACAACACACTGACACGCTCCAAACTACAATAACTCCGACGTGCTTGGATCTATCACGAGGAGCCAAAGATCGTGGTTTGGAAGATGGCCAACTGACTGGGTGACTCGGTCTGCGTGGCCAAAACTAGCTCACAGACCCAATTGCTTCTCCTTAATGTGACCTTTACGGCACTCTTACGAAAGTAAGAACCGAGCCACCTCTTTTTTTGCAAAAACGCGATGCATTATGCGAAGACCATGTCCTTTGTGGCGTCCGTAGAGCGAATGTAGATCTTTGTCAGTCATGCGTCCAATCTCAGGACCAGATGTCTAACAGACTGGGATAATTAACTGCTCCATGTGCGAGAGGAGAGTCAGATCGACTCTGGAGAGGCCATCTCACGATACTTCAGCGCGTTTCTCACTATAATAAATCGGACGCACTCGCGTATATCATGAAGTCCTAGCAGTCCTGACCTGGATCGCTGCCAGTTGACGGGGTAACCCGATCCTGGTGGATACTACCCTGTAGGTATGTGGAATGGATGTCTCGAGGACTGAGAATTAGGTTGTATGACTCCCTCTCTGTGAACTTCTGTGGCACTCCAACTCTGATAGAATCTGAGCTGCCCTTTGTCTGTTTGAGAACTTGGACCATTGTGCGTGGACCAGCGCGAAGACGGGCTGCTTAGCTTTGTCAGCTGCGGTCTGTAGGTTCGCCTTCGGTCATTCTGGTTCCGTCTTGATACCGGATCCAGATAGGTGAGAGGGAGGAGAGAGATAGTACGGCAGATGCCGTGAAAGTTTGATATGGAACGACAATAACACCGGTGTATGAATGCGCCCTAGAGCTAGCGACGGCCAAAGGTACTAGGGGAGGGGTGGGAGTGAAAAGACAGCCAAACCAAAATATATCACTGAAATAGTCACCGGAAATGCTGGGGTACATGAAGGCCTTGTTTCGAGACGCAACACCCAGCCGGAGTAGACCGGAGCCAGTATAAACTTTCACATGCACTTTTCGACGTAACGACAACTGCACTGATAAGTACGTGTCGACCAGGTGATCAAGTTTACGTCAAATAGCATTTTCTGGACACCAACAATACTAACTCAAGCGCAAGTCCCGTCCTGTGCACACCACACTGTAGGACACACGCGGACATGGTCGTTCGCAAAGGTTCTACTGGCGAGCTGCCTCCTTGGTATCCACTACAGCCGTGTGCACGGGGTTGTCGAAGTATCTGCGAGTTACAGATTGCCCAGGAATGCGGACACAAAAGCCGGTAACTCGACGTCTGCCGGTGGTTCTTGTTGCTGGATAGTAGCCACATATAAATGCCACTGCGTTTCCCGAAACTGTGTAACTGGTAGTCGTGAGCCGTTCCTACTCGTAGGGTTATGATTATGCCGGATCTAGTCTACGTCAATGATGTCACGAATTTTGCCTTTCCACGCATGATGATCTCAAGCAACGGGTCCAGATAGTTAGATTCATTCTCTCCCTCACAGACGGACGTCGAATACTGAAGGTCCAATAACCACCAACAAGTATTGGCAGAACCTGTCACGTAAAATTTTGAGAATAGGCCCCCCACTTTCACGTCTCAGGTGTGCAACGTCAGGCTACCAATAGCAACACTGAACTTACGGGACGGATGACTAAGAACGTGCTCAAGGCATCTCAGTCGTTCTTCTTGTGGATTGTTTTGTTCACGACGAAGTCAGAACACTTCATTCGAGGAATGGGTTGCTGTAGCGTTGCGAACTGCTAGGTGTGTGCGAACGAAAGCATGGTCTGATAGGAGGGCGTTGCTAGTTTAGGCCCAACCCACAGACCTGTTACCATGAAACAAACTCCAGAACCTTTAGTGTAGTAGGCCCGAATGGTCGTAGGGCCATAGCTTCAATTCCAGGTGACAACTAGCCAGTACTAATCAACAAAGCGCAACATTTTCACACCGTCTACGCATGGGTGGCTACGCTATAAGCAGTCGTCCGACCCAGAAGTGCCACTCCGTCCCCAGATAACAATCAGCAGAACACGGCGAAGGAGTTTTTCAATCGGCTCTGGTGACTATGAGTAGGTGCCCTTATCAAATTTGATGTTGGTTCGAACACGGTGATGAGAGATGTTCGTTAAATTGGCACCAAAGTCAGCTGGTCATTAACTAGTTCCCACGGAAACACTGCATTGTTGGCTTGTTCTGAGGGGACGATCGCCGAACTCTGTCCACCGAAATAGTCGAGAGTCCCGTGAGTCTGATGCGGACGTCAGAGGGGCGTCAGGCATCCACGTTGTGCTGATGGAGATTGCACATCGTGAGGTCTTAGGTACTTAGATCCAGGAACGCCTGAACTCCGGAAATCGCTACGAAATATCTGTTTTTAATTAAATAGGCCAGTTAGTATACTATCCGTCTACAAAACCGGATGAGGGTTGCGGAACGCGTCAGTTCCTGTGGATGCCATACCATAAATTACAATACTCAAATCATATATTTTCCTGGGGTTTCCTGGAGATTTCGGGACCGACGGATCCCCAACAGCCGATCGGGTTCTTTGTTTGGTGCTATCTTTTTCATCTTTATTGCTCAAAAACCTAACTACGAGGCAGCGATGATGGAAAACTTTATTTAATTATAGCTAATAGTCCTCGTGTTACCATGTCACAATCTTTGCCTGCGGAATTTTATAGGGCAGTCGCCGTGCCAGATCTCAGCCTTCCGTGTACCGGTAGAACTATCTCTGCAAGCCCGCGACTGCTTATTAATCAGACTCCAGAGCCCGCTTATTTTGCAGCTAACTTTTGCTGCGGGTAGTTCCGCCAGCCGCCAACTGTGGTCGCGTTGTGTAACCAGAATCTAGGTTGACAGAAAAAAAATTTCATCAGAAGGGCTCTTCGCCTTATTAGCGTGGTCACAGCGTTCAAATGCGTGGCAAACAAAAGGTTTAGAAAGTGGTTAAAGGAATTATTACGAGTAAGGTCTGATGTCACATCGTCAGTACCCATACTCTCGCCGACAAAATCCCTGCATGATTGTTCAATACTTAGCCGGGAGTTAGACGTGATGCATTCCATCGTTCATGAAACAAGAACGTCAGTTACTAGGTCTTTGCAGATGTTGAAAGAAATTGTAATAAAACTGAACGGGCTCCAGAGCATCGGCTAATTACCCTGACCGTGACGTTCACGTTGCGCTGTAAGTATCGAGTCAGGAACCGCAGCATATACTGTCATTCTCAAAAGACATCGTCCGACCAGTTTAATTTTTCACAAGCCGTGAAAATTAAAGTATCCCCGGATATCCTAGACAATAGTTCGGTTATGTTCCTCGCCACCCACCCCAGGATTTCAGCGTCGCCGATCAAAATTCAAGGTCGTATCAGCACTAGCGACGATGGAGAGGTCGGATCCAACCCTAAGTTGACATGTTTCCTCAATGAGTCTAAGTGGGTCTCATGCCTCTGGTATTCGGTGCTCCGTGGAGAAGAGATTAAATTAGACCGAATAAACACTGCCGTATATCATCGTAGGAGCAGACAGTGTAATGGGCACAGTTAAGGCGCCTGGATAAGACATGATTTCACCTTCATACAAGCACTCACCAGAATGCACGCAGATTTGGATAAATTGATGGGTGTGGAATTGGCAGCCACTGATTTGATCAGCAGTCGGTTGTGCACATGAGAACGTAAGCCGCAGAAATATAAGAGGAATACATGAGAATCGTCAGAAAGAGCGTGCGAAAATATCGAACTCTTCTTTGCCAATCTAAAGGTGCAAATGTAGTAAATGTCCAAAAATCAGCAAAAGTTGTAAACTACAAACGTCTAAAAGGTAATGTCGACTTTTATGCCTTGAAATTTTCGCAGCGTGCAGAGTTTACATGAAAAAGGTAAACTGGGACAAATTAAAAAGGCCAATGCCAAAAATGTGTTAAAAATACCTATAGGAAAAACCTATTAATTACCTGGGCCTGGTAGTCATCTGGTGCATTCTAGATGGATTATTTAGGAAATCCTGCTTGGGCAATCAGCATTCTGCCCGATTTGGTGGATTCCAGGCCTTGCAGTAAACTGGACTCGAATGAAGTTAAAATCACGGCCCTCAGTGAAGCCTCGCAGTTCAGGTGGTTAGAGCGTTGGCTGTACTAAAACCTTCACCTTGTTGTCACGGGTTCGAATCCCACTCTGGTCACCGAGTTTTTCACAGTCGGGTCAAAAGGAAAAATACCTTCGAAAATATTCTGTACATAAGAAACCCTGGTAATCAAAAAGGCCCTTCCGTTCGAAGTAAGCGGGAAATTTACGTGGAACTATAATTTAGCGATACATAAACTTGGAAAAGCACATTAGGTATGCGCTTTGCAGATTAGAAGGTCACCAAACCAGCAACAATTTTAATGCTGTTGGTCGCGTCCCTACCACTTTGACTGACATTAAAATTCTTGCTAAAGTAAATAAGAATAGGCGTGCCTAGGATTGTGGTATATGGTAAAAGATTGATCTTGCAGGATAATTAATGATTTGCAACTTCCGGCAAAAGCAGATTGTCCAAACTCGATGATAGAAGGTTTACCTAATAAGGCAGTCAGACGGCCATCGGTGCACATCTATGGACTTTGTATTGTCAATCAAATAATCAAAAAGCAGTGATCAAGTCCGATACTACTGTCGGGGAGGGTAGATAAGTGACGGCATATTTTATTTGCTAGCTAAAATTCCTTGAAATTAAACTGCTTGGATGGTGATTCTCATTTCTCTGTACGAAATGCTGCAGTTGTTGTTGAGAAGCCTAAGTGTGAAGATGCGTAAAAGGAGGCTATAAAGAAATGAAACAGCAGCATGACAGCAGCATCGGTTTAAAAAAAATGTCCCCCGTTAAAAATGGCCTCGACTTGCATGTGCGGCCAAGCGCGGATGCATGCGGTCATGGCCACGCCAATTTTGAGAAGCATTTTCGTCGTTTAAATAAAATCTTGTGTACTTATCAGAGAAAAGCAGACCAGCGAAGTGAGCTAAAATTTGCGAAATCTAAACAAGCCGACATCAGGAACATTTGCAAATATTTAGACTTTGTGTTGGTGACAGTAAAATAAATATGAAGAGACAAAAAGCTAGCGAAGAACAAACAGATAAAGGTGGTAGCAACTCCATATCGAGGCGACAGAGACTTTCTGTAAAAAAAAGTCGCGGTAGCTATGACCAATTTATAGCGGATTTCACCAAAACGTTTCGATACAACGAGACAACAGCGAAAAGTCGCAATACGGTGTTACGCAGTGGCAGCGGCGCATATGCCTTACTTAATAAAATATGAATTTATTACGTACGAGCGCATAGTTCTACGCCCCTTACTCCCTAAAAGTCTCAATTCATAAACTGATTTCCCACCAAAATAAAATGAATTCGAAGTCAGCATTTTTGACCTGACGTATATTTAAAAAATAAATATTACAAGCCAAGATTCATTTGTCATCCGCCATAGTCACATGCGTGGGCAAGACTTCTGCTGAAGAAGTGTTTGGTAGGAGGTTTATACACAAAGCTTATATACATCGGTGCAACGATCTGCGCAGCAAACCGCCATGGGACCACTAAATTCAAGGCTTGAAGAGCTTCAGTCGTGGACCACCTGGCTCATCTCGCCCTTATGTATAAGTGGAAATATACATAAAGAAGTATTCCAAATACTATCTACGGCTGTTTGGGCTGACCAGCCCAAACCCTGATAGCATTCTAGTCTCCAAGAGCTAGCCCGTTCCAACGGTCGGGGGCCAGTCTTGCAATTAGCTGGCTTTTTGATATTCTCTCAGCGCAGGAATTCTTCCGTTTGACTGGCAACACACACGCACCGTCAGTAAATTAGATGAATAGCGTCGCACTAGCCCACAAACTTCTAATCCAGGGCGTTTAAATGCTATCACGAAACAGGAGGTTTTAACATACGTTGACGATTATTAGTCATTCTTTGAGGTCACTTCTTTAGTTCTCAAGATGCTGACCCCTATGCCAAAGAAACACTATATGTTTGTATTACGACGTTCAAATGTGTCCCATTCAAAACGGGAGTGTTTGAATGCATACAAACATGCAAGTGACTGATTTTATCCAGGCAAACAAAACGGAGACTAAGAACGCGATAGAACCTCATATTTGATGAATCGCTAATTAACTACAATTCACGTCCTTCTCGTCGAAATTTTGGATACACAAGGTGGGACAGAAGACCTACCCCGAAATCATCTAGGGCCGAGGGAGAGCTGGACGTCGGAGAAACCAACTACGCGCCACACATATAACCTTAAAACCGGTAAGTATAAACAAATCGAACAAAATTCTTCACATATTTAAAGTTGATATGCAATGAACTAGATTTCAAGTTTGCCAGATTTATATAACGTGATGTCGCGTCTACATGTCGTGACTTTCTGCAACTGTCTAAAAGGATATGCTGTTGTTGACTGCAGTGGCCTGGAATCATTTACAAAGAAAAATAAATTATATTATGACCAAAAAATTAAAACGCCAAGAACTTTTAATCAGCTCACTGACGCCAGGAGTACTTTGTCGGCACTCTCTATTCTAGAGATGGGACTTGGATGCTTTTTTGGTCATACTCCTCAGGACTATGATTGTATCTATTTTGAAAATATTATTTTATGAGACATCGAACGGCCTACGAGATTCTTAACGTCCCAATTTGATTGTGAACACGCGAACACTGCTCTCGCGTACCTATCAGACTTCCGTCGGTAAATTCCCGACAGTTCATTTTACTATTTTTATGATCATTTAAATTGTCAAGGCGAACACGATGTAATAAGGTTTGGTATTAGACAGCGTTTCGACGTAAACGGATGTATTTGTTACCATTAAATAAGCTCCCGGGTTTCGGCTAACTTTGCGCTCTCGTTGTGGGGTCTTTCTTGCGGAATAAAGTGATAATGCATTTTGCGGCCCTCTCCTTGCCGTTTTCTTTGTCGGCACTTCCGCAACTGAGGAACTCTCAGAGGCAACCGCGTAGAAGGGCGTATTGTCCTCACCGTGTAGTTTTCCATGGAAAAAGTTAGTTCTGTACACGGCTGCCCCGGTGCCGCATCCTTCAGATGGCTTCGAACAATCGCTATAGCCCACGTATTCGCACGGAGACGCTGTCTGAGTCACCAATATCCACTAAAGGCTTTGGTTGTTAAATAAACTTGACGTCATGAGCTACAACAAAAGTTTGATGGCTTCTTTGCTGACAGATTTGTCTTCAGCCTTTCACTATTGACCCTTCTCTCGCCACCAGCAATGGAACCCTTCCATGTAACACTTCCATGTCCCATGTCGCACTCCCTGAATAAACTCTCCCACACAGACAGTTGATTTTATCTTTGGTGGGGCTATAATTGTCCATAATACCAAACGCACACTCATTGAGGCTTGTATGTGGAGCAGGTTATGTTACGCTAGCAGGAACCACTGAACCTTTCAGGCCTTGTCGATCGGTCCACTTCAGTCTTTTAGACCACCACAGATCCCTTGACTCTTATCCGGTGTCCGCACTTACCACCTAATTTGGGTTGACTAGTTTAAAGATAGATGCAGCAACCTTGATCGAAGTTTTCATAATAGACTGCGTGACTCTTTTGACTAATTTATGAACACCAAGAAGAGCTCGCTGCACGTTTTAAGCTCTAATTCCTCCTGTCTATTTTCTATTCCCCGAGTTGTTTCCGGTTGTGAGTCCCTGTCGCCAACACAAACCTAGCCAGTTTGCCTAGGAGCATTTTGTGAACTAAGCAAACCACCTTCCCATTCGTTTCCTGTAGCGCAATCCTTTCTTAAGTCGGTTTTTGCGTTCTGTGACCTAGTGGGTGATGTGACAATAGGGACTCTAGGTGAGGCGCACACTCACGCAAACATCTCATCCGCAGAAGTTAACTTCACTATAGTTCTCCCCGTTATCACCAGCACATGTTGATCCGCTTCCCAATTAGGCCACAACCTTCCTTGTGAGGTACGCGTAGACAACTTCTTCAGCTTTGTCCTCTTTTCCAACCGATCGTACTTCCAAGCATTCTGGCTTGGGCATAACATCGAAACCCGGGACTGGGCAGTTGGATGTTCAGAATTTCTGCACACGACTGCTATCTCTATGACCAATTTAACGCGCAGGTCATTGAGATCCCGTCTTCCATCCTGTGGAGTACGCAGTGGACATCATCGATTGCGATGGTCAAACTGTCCTAGTAGACCTGGGCCATCTCAAACTTACTGCCTCGTTTACTCCTCTGTGTGTGTTCTGTGGTCTCCTATTCCCCCATTTTATTAGTCGCTCCTTTCCAACATCTTTAGTTCCATATGGCTACTGTTTTGTGGCTTCGATCACGACCACTTACGGATATTGCCTGAATTAATCCACAATTTTTACTTTGATAATAATAGTTATAATAATAGTCTCGTTGTTAAGCGTCTTAGGGACAAAATAAATGTGAGGTAGACTCTGATTTAAGTATAAAAGTGTGCAGAATGATGTTAGTCTAGGCTTCAGTATGGGTAGCCAGCTGCACAGTGAACTATGAAGAAGGACTTATATGAATAAGAAAAAATTATCAGCGTCCTCCTGATATAATTTTCTAATACAATGTTTGTACCACTAGTATCCAAAAACTGTAAATTGGGTGTTGTCACACTAAAAAGGGTGAGCTTCGGACGAAACAATGGAAAAAAATTCACGAGTGGATGAACCAGTGCCACGTGTAAATTAGCAGCAAGCGGGACGATAATGCGGCATCTATAAATAATCTTACTTTCGTCGACTGGCATCAGGCCATCATAGTTCAGACGCCCATTCTTACCGAGAAGTCGTTTAAAGTGGTTGTGACTGAAAAGCAGTGAAGCTTAACGCCGGTTGTCAGTGGCCTCTAAACTGGCTCTACACTCTAACCCTTGATTTAAGAAACCACAATTGTTCGCAGTGATACACAACCGAATCGCCTTCTCGTCCGGAAGGCTAATCTTATTACCAATATGTGAGTCAATCAGATGATTATAAAAGACAACATTCTATCCGAAGTCTAACTCATTTTATTGAATTAGTCAGACACACTCAGATGCGGTACCCACCGACACAGAAAATCGTCCGACGATGATTCTCGGCTTTCCACGCCGTCAATTGCTAAGTTCGCAGCCTGTCGAGAGCCGTTCCTCTGCTTTTCCAGTATTGACGTCATTACTAGCAAATCGTACCCATGACTTAGTTTTTCTCCAATTTCAAACAATCTCCTTCCCACCCCAAAGCCCCTCTTAAGCCCCACCCATTCCTTCCTTTTGTTCCAGTATCACATTCACTTGTTGGTATGCTATATTCTTTGGCGACAAAGCTCGTAGCTGGATGTATATGATGCTTCATCTTCAAACAAAAGCAATCGAAGCAGCGGTTTGGACTAGTAGTCCTCGTACTTCCGAACAGAAATAAAAGACAAATTATTCTAGACGACAGCTGTTTACCACTCAGTGAAGTCCATAAGGTAGACGGTGTTTGTTAACCTTACAATCACACACTCCCCAATTAGTGGTCTATGAGCATCAAGGAATAACGCGGCAGTAGTAGCGGGAGAATTCAGTGACTTATTTTCTCCTGGTGTGTTGTAGATTTATCCATGGAGTCCAGCGACGAGGACAGCGGTCACCAGAAGTCGATCGGAATTCTTATGATAGTCTGTCATAGGAGCTGGGCGGGCCGCCCCTGTCACCTATGGTAGGTTTCATAGTGTAACATCAAGTATTGTGTAGGAGGTCGACCGCTCAAACTTGGACCCCCTTGACACGTTGGCCTGCTAACATTGAAAGTACTACCATTTTTTACAAATTTTTTCCTAGAACACCATGATCAAACAGTTCGCTCAGGAATCATCGCTATTATGAAGCAACTAGGACTTCAGCATAAAATAAATAATCTACTTCGCAGGCAGTTAGCAGGGCTCACTAAAAGCAAGTTTCGCTTGCATAAGCGGCTTCACGCCATGGCATCTCTTGCAAAGGACCGCAGTCTGCATCAGATGGCACGAAAGCGGCCGCTGTGTACGAAGCCATAATTTCTTACCGTGAATTGTAGGCTTTGGGATCCCCAGTTGAGACGTGAGTTAGTACATTTTAGGGATGTCAGGGCATATTTTAAAGGCATTTTTTGGTCTGCCTTGACGGACGAAATACGGACGACTTTGCCAAGAGGGTGATTTATGCCCTCTTTCATGATGAGGTAATCGACCACATAAATGTCAAGGAAAAATCTAAAGAGGGCTTGTGCAGCTCGCAAGTATACGAGATCACTCAAGGTACACTACGGCCTTTCCATGTCCCAGACTGCTAAATAGAGGTTTGAGCCGTGTGGAACGTGTGTGGACGTGTACGAGCTGGAGCTCTCCCTTACGAGGCGAACAAAACGCCTGATTGACGCACCCTGGAAGCGGCGTTATCGATAGGGATGCCTAATGAATTATAGTGACGGTTAGTGTTGCCATTCTCTTAGTATAATTACCCCGTTTTTAACCCACCGCAGGTCCATCGTATCCCTCACCGAGGGTGCAGGGGAGCATTTAAGAAAATTCTTTATTGGTACTGTATATTTCTTACAATAAAAAACATTAATGAACAATGCATGAACTTTGAATTCAATTCACTTCGACAGATTCATAGTACATGAATTGATAGAATATATAGGTGAACTGGGAAAGATCGTCCATACGTACTTAAAAGTATACTGTGCAAAGACAACCATATCCGATACCCGGTGCTGCTACCACATAGCATCCTATTGCGAATTTTTGTAGTCGCCTCAATAAAGACCAAGTGGACAAAATCTGCTGTCGATCGGTCTACCTATCGCAGCTTTTCCATGGCGAGTCGCTGTCTCCTCGATATGGATTTGCTACTAGGGTACGAACTCTCATCAGCTGAACGGTCATGTCCTTTAGCCAAATGTTCATATATGTGCGACAACCTTTAATGGAAATTCACAAAACACAGCCAAACTATACTTTTTTCTGCAATGACATCGAAAATATGTTTGCTGTTCATTCATTTTCATTTCACACTGCCTCCTCGTTATGCTTGATAAGGCCAGTAAGTGGACGTCCAATCCATAAATCGTTTTGATTATAAGCACAATTTGGCAACTGTTTCGAGATTTATCCTTAAATATTTTCTAAATGTGTAACGACAGAGCCCACCCGAATGCTCAATAAGACAGTTATAAGCATAAACATAATCGGTGAGTAAGAAGTACGTATCTGGAAGTCGGTAATTGACTTCTGCCGCGGAAAAGTGTAAAAGGTTTAGTGGCAGAAATGCAAGTACTCGCCTAGCAGAAATTTAAATTCCCCACAACGGCAATCGTGACGGTCATTTAGCATGAAAGGGAAGCCTAGGAGAGTGAGAGTTCGGAAACAGCTATGGAAGGCATTGCGCGTGTCTCAGTTCCAAGAACAACGACTAGACAGTTAACAAACACCAGAGTCTGTAACAAGGACCACTGATTAGCAAATGCCTAGAAAGACGTGTTAGAAGGGGACGAGCTGTTTGTTTCCAGTGACTGATCGTCCGCGGGAAATAGGGAGTGGGTGGTCCAGTCCGGTTTTGTAACGAACTTTATGGCATAGAAAACTGCAGATGCGGATATAGGGGTTGGAATTTGGAAGAAAAAAATCGTAGATAGGAAAAGTAAGAACTACCGCAAGTCAGCCGAGTTTACGCAGGAACTTCATGGACAGGCTGCTGCACCGCATTGTAACCTAGGTAGTTTTGAGGATTGAGTGGGTTCGACAGCCAAGAAGGAACACTTGTGTCAGAATTTCACTAAGAATACAACTTTAAAGGGAATTTGCTGAGGCGTGAGGTGTGTACTACTTCCGTAAGGGCGGAGACGTCATTCGTAGACGAGTCTCATCATATTTCAATTCATTTTTCCTGCAAAATATTCCGGAACTTATAAGGGCAGCGAAATGCAGTAGACGAAAGCCATGTCACTTAAGTAATCATTTTTCGTCAAGTGGGCTTTTCGCGGGTAGCTGAACAGAACGGCATTCAAAACCGGCCCTCTGACGTGTCTGAAATGTCACGGGCTTATGCCACAAGGTAATAAGTATTACAACCCCACTTAGGTAATCCCTCCTAACCGATGACACGTTTTAGAATTTCAGCTAACATTTCATGAGATCGATCAATGAGGGCATGTATGCAGCCTGATTCAGCCAACAGAGAGAAGTCGCATGAAATGACACGCAAACACAGGTTTACGACCTAAATGGCGTACCATTGCAGGAGGCAGACGTCCAGGAAGACTCGGATGTGTGAGTTACGACTTCAATTAAACCGTCGCTCCACTGTTCCAAAGTAGCCAAGTCCGCGATATCAGCTCTGGACCTTGTCAAGCGGGTTTTCTCTACCTTCGACGAGGTCTTTTTCAATAAAGTCTTTCGGACGTTTATGCAGCCACAGTTAGAGCTCGCTACTCAAGCGTGGATACTCTGGACCGCCAAAGACCTTAGCATCCTTAAGAAAATTCAAAGGCAGGCAACTAAACCCGTTAGTGGACAGGGTTCACAATGGTAGGGGTTGCTCACCGATCGTTATTACGGAACTCACTCGTTCGGTTGTGCCTTACGGGCTCCCTCTAGAGACCAACCAGCAGCCGCAAAAAGCGGCGCATGATATGACATTTCGACCATCGGTTTCGATGATGTCCACCGTGTGCTCCACAGTTGCAGCAGCAATGGGAGCAGGGACGGTGACTTACGCAGGGGTTAGAGTGCCGGTAGACTTGCGTAGCATCTACCTACACTCTTTCCTCCTCCCTCGCCCGATCCCGGTGTCAAGACAGAGTCAAGAAGACCGGAGACGAGGGAGGCCACAGGTGGATGGCTCGGACGGATCCTCACCTTGGCGTTCCATCACACCCCCTGGTTCACACAATAAATGACCAGGATTTCAACCAACACAACAGAGATTTGGAGGCTGGCACGGCCGAAGCCGCACCTGGTCGTG